GCTTTATTGTATTCCGTGTTTCGTAATTCCTTGACATTAATGAGGAGTGTTTTTATATTGAAAGTTGCTTATGCTCAAGTTAGAGGATTCGACAACTTCGAAAATGCAGCTCACTCTTTCTGTGATTTGAAATTGTACTGGACTGGCCTCGCCCTCGCGCCCTAAATCCCCATGCACCCTCAAACCACTGCTTCACGGGCCAAGTAGTTTGAACAGTTGGTCTGTGTTGAAAAGGGGTCCGGAAAGAGTTTCTTGGGAATTGAGGTCTGCGTGTAGATGCACTAAAGGCACTTATGTCGTCTGACGATTAAGTGCCACGCGACCTGGACGCTTCTGACGTGTCTTAAAGGGTGATGGTCTGACGGGAGGGATCAGAGCCAATTGAGGCGGTGACTAGCCGGCACGTGCTGAGCTCGCTTATACAGTGATGTATTGTCACGCCTCGGGCGCAACGCGGCCCGCGTCCCATCAATGAGGGGGGTCATCATCGGTCTCACAGGCCTCGTGTCGAGCAGCTTCAACCTTCACAAGTCCCACGACGGCCACTTTTCCAGCTGAGTTCATTCTGCTCGTTGTATTAGTTACTTGTTTCTCGTTTTTGAGGGGCATGGGAAGGGTTATATTTGCTGCTTTTTTGAAGGTCAAATTCAGTGCATACAATGTTCACCCGTCTTGCTCGTTAGTTATTCAATTCCAGAACGTTTTTATACTTGCTCAATAAATCTCCGGCTTCAAGAAGAGGTATATAATGGAAAATATATAGAAAAAAATAAAGGAATAAGGGTGCTTTGTCAGCAGATTTTTTTCAATGAAAAGCGAGAAATTATGCAAGGAAAACGGGTGTTTGTAAGCTTACAAAACGAACGGTGAATCGAATATCACACCAACCCCACGACGTGAGTAGCCCGTCTCTGCCAACATTTGCCTGCCCATATATTCATGCAAGAGTCCTTTTGTCAGTCTGCCTGTCGATAATTTCTGTCTTCATTGAAGTGCGTCGTTTGTGCTTGATTCCTTGTCTGTTAGTCACTCCGACTTATCACTTGCATTGTGTGTAAGTTTATTCAGTCGGAGGATAACACTCCGGGTGGTGGTTGATTATTTTATTATTTATTGTATAATTTTATTTTCAAACCTGCTTTTATGCAACGGCTACACGTTTACTTTTTCTTTCTATGACTTTCTATGAGCGAAAAACGACATGTTTTATAGACTGTACACACGTAGAAACAATGTTTTTGTAAGCAAAAGTATAAAGTTTATTTTATTCGCTATATGGAATATAAAACGTTGGCAAGCAAAAAACATGGAAATTGTATTTAAAATATAGTTTTGAATACAAAGGCAGTACTTTACAGGCTAAACCTTTGTTGGAAGCAAGATAACACTTGGCAAAGATAATAATTACATGGAATGTGTGACTTAGGTATTAAAAATAATAATAATAATAAAGATTTTAAAAACAGGTTCTAGTTTTATGGTGTACACAAGGCACTGTATCGGTTGTGAGGGCAAGACTCTCTAAATGGACTTTGTATTCTCACCTACAAAACTTGCAAATACATCAAAGTGTCATTCAGGATATTTGCCCACTAGTTTACATCACTTGTGATTCTGTAGATTTCTTATCTGTTTATCCATTTATTCCTTTCTTCGTCACAGGACGAGGTGTATAATTTTTCTCTCTTGTTACTTCAGACGCGGTCTGCCCCTACTAAGCAAGTGCATATACGGCACAATTTGGCGGTTTTGTGGACTCCGGTAACAAGTCCCTTCATCAAACCACTTATAAGTGGTGAGCTGTGACGAATTTTCAAATTAAGTAACTTGTAATGATGGGCGTCAATTTTTTCCCGGGGAATTTCGGGGGGGGGGCAAAATAATCAAGGAGTTACTTTTGATTTGTTTGTTTGTTTGTTTTTAAGCAAATGAGCCAGTTCGGTATTTCAAAAAACCAACGTCAATTTGGGAACAAGGCCCACGCGTGAGTTCGACAAATGGCTGCGTAGATATCGCAGACCTCGCGTGGACTTCCGAATGACCCCGGACGCGCTTAGTTTGAGAGTGCATTGGTGACATACCGAACTGGCTCGTTGGTAATTTTCACCCCTTTCATCTTTTTTTTTTAACTTTTTTTTGGCCACCCCCCCTTTTTTTCTCAGGGTGTAAGCACCCTCTTGCCCCCGTCTTCATGACGCCCGCGTGCTTGTGGCTTTACTGGCTTGTGATGGACTGTAATATAATGGACTCGAAACTGAATATTGCAGTTTAGTTTGAACGGGTAAAACTGCAAAAAGTGTGCTTGATGCATGACACGTACACAACTTCGCGACTGTACTAAAACTAGCTGCTAATTGATATTTTAAAATAAATCTGTGAAACGACTGAATCTCTGTGTACAATATAAAGTTTAAAAATCACTTCAGTGTAAAATAAACGTGGTTCTTCATAACAAATCACAGTACTATGGTCTTTTCAAAGCATACGGTGTTTAACAAACTTGCATTATATTTTGAAAAAAAAACAGTACGTGTACATGTAATTAAATGGCAAGATCGTTCTAAATACACCCAGCATCAAAAATGCAAAGGATTCTAAGATAATACTTCAGCTACCGTAGTGAAACAATCATATGGTGCGTGATTTACCTCGAGTAAATAAAGCTCTGATTTTATACACAAAATTGTCAGCTTTAGAATTGGGAACAATTATCCCAAACCGTCTCTCCACTGCCATTTTACCTCGGAGGTGTTATTTTCTTTAGCAATAAGGTGATCCGGTGCCTGATCGCCTGTCAGGTTTTAGTGCTTCATCTCTCTCCGCCTCCCTCCCTTTTCTTCAGGACGACAATTTTCTACAATTTTTTTTTTCAGACAGGATGTACGGTCTGAACTTAAAACTTGACACGAATGCATTAATCCTGATCCTCAGATTATGCATGTAGTGTTACATCGCGATGACGTCATCTGATGTCAAATTTCAAGCGATATATGAAGTTCATAATTGGGAATCTTGATAGATATCGAGTTGGGCAACAATTTCATGTGACCTTTGCTTCCGGGGATAATGAAGGGTCAAAGTTCAGGTTCGAAATGTCTGATACAACCCCTCTATCAACAAATCAGTCAAGATCTTTCTAAACAATTTGGGATATTAACATGAAACATCGTGCTATGCTAACACAGACATTGATGCGTGCATTTCTTATGTCGCTATGACGTCATCAAATATTACATTACCTGCAATTGGAATTAAATGAGATAGCACGTTCCTATATTGAGACCTGGCAAAGTATGTCTTGAGTAACATAACTTATTACAATGCAGAGTAACGTTACTTCGATCTCCAGGGGAACCGGAAGTGCAATAATATAGTATAACTCAAACAAGGAAGGGCTTTTCTTTATCAAACAGAATCACTAAAATGTTAAGAGTTGTATTATGAGCACGATTCGAGGATTGCTGACGTCAGAACTTGGAAGATGTCTTCTTGTGGCGCATCAAAGACAGTGAAATTTTACATTTGTGACTAGTTTGCCATATACTTGCTCGGACAGAAACTGCTTGTAATCTCTGAAGTTACAGGAGGGACAAGTTTAAGATGATAATTCTTCTCTCTATTTGACTTCGTTAATTAATCATTATATGAGTACTTCAGAGAAAAAAAACAATCTACATCTCCCGAAAACATACATCAAAATTCTGTGACGTCATCAAACCAGAAATCGATATCGCCAATTTACCTCGTGTTGTTCCTAAACAAACACGCTTCGTCTTCTTTGCATAGAATATGCCAATCTAAAACCCCATGTCTCCTTATACAATAACGATCAATCGATTCTTACAACAGATAAGGTCGGTTACAAAAACCTGTTTACTTTTTTGTACAGTATTTAAAAGCCTGCTTCAGCGCCGTTACACGGTAAAAATAGCCCAGTCCTAGAAATGTGATTACTTGTTATACTGATGTTGATATTAGAAGCTACTAAATAATTCAAAGACACGATTAAGGTAAATGTTTGCTGTGATTCGCTAGATATAGGCTTATAATAGATTCATACGTCTTCGAGAATTAATCTATTGAGTGTCCAACAAGTTAGAAAAGTGCAAAAAATGACCAAGAAAACTATTTTCAGCTGCGGTTATAAATAATGAGAGACTACTCTCCTGCACGTTCGTCCTATAGCTGTATAATGTTCAGGCAGCAGAATAAGGAAGCTTTCATTTAAAAAATGTATTAATTATTCTGCAAAACAATTGGAGGTTAGCACCTTTTAAATACTTTTTATCGTCATTGTGCCTAAAAAAAGAAAACATTCGGTCAAAGTTTGGAAACTTCGAAGCCTGGACATAACAGGGAATTTCAACTGCCCTTTGAAGGGTCTTCAAGGAAATAATACATTGATTACCCCTCCCCAACAAAAAACCAAAAAACACGAATTCTTCATACATTGTCAGCCTGTAGACCTTTATCAAAATGCGGTCATGTATGTCTTATTCGCTGTAGACCCATTAGCAACAGTAATACAAATCCACAAATTTATAATAAGAAACAGACTTTTTTCCTTCCAGCCTCAGTTTGGTTGCATTGCTTTGAATGGTAGAAAGGCAAGATGGCGAAGCTAAGATAAAGGTCTATAGAGTCAACTCCGTCGATGCCATTCGATCCTCTGGTTACCCAGAATTTTGTTTAAAATCCGATTCCCTTACATAATGACATGTAGGGAACGGACAGTCACTTGTTGATGTGACACAAAGAAAGTATGGGGGTTTTCCTGAGGGCAATTAAATAAGGGCAATAAACAACTGTATACGTTCAAACAAGCAATTTCAATATGGCAACAAGAGGAATGCAGTTAAGGCAGAGCAGCGACGAAACGTACAGAGGTGACTCCTTATCTCGTCTTAAATCCTTTAACCAAAATACCATAGCATTATTTCACATCTTGGTGCACCCGCCCATTGACTGGGCCCTGTTCGTTCTGTTCTTTCTTCTTTTTTTTACTGGGCGGGGTCGTAGAACCTCATGGCCAGGTTGGCCATGTCGCGCTGCATCTGGGCATTCTCGCGCTGCTCCCGCTCCGTGGTACGCTTCAACTTTGTTCGGCGGTTTTGGAACCAGATCTTCACCTGGAATGTAGAGGGAAACAGGTGTCGAGGAATGGTTGTAAGGCAGAAAAGTATCGTTACTTGCTAATTACAAGAGTCCAATAGGCCTATTCAATATGTATGTAGGGACCTAGAAAGCTTGTTGCACGTGTCATTTCTGTCAGGTTGTGCCCTCCCTTTTTCTCAAAGGTACGAAAGAAATGTCTTCCCTATTGAAAAATCCAACTGAGAGAAACGACCTTTATCACAATGCCACCATGTTTGTCTTGTTCCCTGTAGACCCATCGGTAATAATACAACACAACTTCACAAATTTATAACAGGGAACAGACTATTTTTCCTTCCAACCTCATTTTGGTTACACTGCAAGTGGTAGAGAAGCAAGATGGCTGTCCATGATAGAGATCTTGATGAGGTGTGGCACGGTTCGGTGGTTTGCTTTATAGGGTCAATCTTTAGATTTTAGTTCTATCTTTTCCTTGTCTACAATGATTCTGCGAATTTTAAATGCTCTCTGTTTTTGTCTCGCTCTGGTTTAGAGAACCACCCATGGGGGTGGGTGATAGGGTCACGAGCGGGTCCAGGGGAGGCTAACGGTGGCCGTGCTCCTCAAGAACAGCATATGTTTTGATCATGAGAAAGGCTATTTTCTGCGGTCTACTTTTTCCCCTCCATCTAGTAGAAAGGCCCTATAAATGTAGCCTTCCATCCATTAAAGCCATAAACAATTACATAAGAAGTCATGATTTGTTTGCCCCCAAACGAAAAATAACCATATCCCCGCCCTAAAAGTCTGGATTGGCCCTTAGGTTGAGTTGGCCACCACAACCGATGCTGCTGCTGTTGCTACTGCACTTACCTGACGTTCCGTGAGGCTAAGGACCTGTGACAGCCAGGAGCGTCGCTCTCGGCTTGGGTACATGCACCGTTGGAACTCCTGCTCGAGATGGAGCAACTGTAGCTTGGAGTAGGGGCGACGTTTGGGCCGCGAACCACCGGATTTCAGAGACGTGGACACTGCGAAATGGAATGAAGGAAAAGAAATGGTAACGATACAGAGTTCAAGTATTTCCTCTAAAACAGTTTTTTCACATCGTTTGAACACTCTTTGCTCTTCTGAAATTGTACCCAAAAAGCACAATTGAGTCTTGGCCAACCAGTCTTGACCCAGTTCATGCATTCGTGCTAACATCTGTTTGTTAATAGCCGTGATCCATTTTCCATATTAAAAGTGAGCAAAACGTTGAGAGTTTGCGAGGTGTCCAAATAACTCGGTCGCTATGACCTAGAAAGATTGCTCGAGGGCGGAGTATCCGGCCAGCTGAGGGTGAGGAATTCCCTCGTCCGTCCGCAAACACCTACTGTGACATCTCTCCTCAATGTCCGGAATTACCGACCCCAGTTTTGATGCCTGGGATAAATAGACTTCATAGCGCATATGTTCAAAATTGCAAATAAAGACCGACCGCACCACACGTGCGAGCCACGTGTCAGCACGGGCTACAGGTGGGATGCACGATGCCATAAGGGAGAGCTGTCAGCGCGACGTTACCCCGATCCGGCACGCGAAAGCGGCTAAACAAACCGGTTTCTTACACTCTTCATCTTCCGTTCCGGTCCCGCTGGCGGGGGATCCCGCCGCGCATTAGCGGGCATTACGGTCTCCTTCATCAGCAAGCGAGTGGCCCCATCGGGACCGAGCGCTCATCTCCAAGATGTGCGGCTCTCAGCGGGACGCCCCAGGAAAAATTTTATCTTCCCCTTATGGTTGTTTGGTCAACGCCTCCGAGCCTTGTCTAGCCGTGGACTCCAACTGAGTTCTGTGAGAGCTTCGGAGGGGTCGGCAACCACGTGACTTCCAGATCAATTGAGAGGGAAGATACAAGCGCTCTATGAATCATGAGCCCATGAAACAAATGGCACGCGACCGTCTCATCGCTGGGAGTCCTGCCGGACGCGAGCCGCCGAGGACATGCCGTCGAATCTCAAGGTGCACTGGGTGTGTTTGTCCATTTTTATAGTGTTTGATCGTACCGGTTGAAGTTCATGTTGTGATTGCATACAGTTCTTGGGTTTATTCAATGTGACCATTCTTGGGCTTCAGACAAGGATTGGAAGTTACAATTCACGTTTAGCCCCTCTGGGATTCGAAACCAGGACTCCTGGGAGGAGGTAAAGGAGGGAAGAGACCAAGGAAGATGGCTGGGGTACTGGAAAGATAAGAAGGCGATTGATCTCAATCCTAAGGAAGGTGAAACTCAATCGATCGATCGAGTTTCACCTTCCTCTGGACTTTGTCCTCATCAACACCATCGTCACCATGGTTGCCAATCCATTGATCAGTTGATTAGTTGACGTGTTGATCGACGGACCAATTGTTCGCTTTACAAATCGATCGATTAACCCATTGATCAATGAATATCGAGAACGAGAATGGAATGTTCAGGGGCAACACTTTCTGCCGTTATCCTTAAATCACAATAAATTTTGTTCAACTGATGGTTATGGTTCTGATTAAGAAACATCAGTGTATACCAAAACCTGTTTGCTTTCGATCGCGTCTCGAAATGCTCAGCATCCACTGACCCCTTCACTGGCTGGTTCATGATCCTCCCAGAAAATGAACATAATCGGAGACGATTCCGAGCGTCAGAAAGACAAAGATTTTCCTAAATAATACGTCGGCATTCCCCCTCGGTACAGATCATGGGTGGAGATCCCGGGAATGGGATCCCCCCCACACACACACACACTATTTCAAGTCACTGACTATTATGCACACTCACACCCTTAGCCTGCACCACCCACTACACAGTTGCTGGCGTCACGATCTCACTTGGGATGGAAACTGTGCTAAGCTTTCAGATGTGATAACATGGGGGGGCTCCCCTTTTGTCCTTCGGTTTACATCAAGGAATGTAGAAATTGAAATTTACGTGGACAGGTCTCAAACTCTACGATCTTCTTAAAGAAAAAGTTTCGGGAAAATGAATCATTTGACTTGCAAACGTGTCAACCTTAGAATTCATGCAAACATACAGTATCATTCACTCACCTACTGTTGACTCGGTGGGCTCCCCCTCAGCTTATTAAACTGAGCAGTTTGTTGTGTTTGTGCTTTTTTTCCCCCGCCGACTTATTTTTTCTACTTCATGCTTGCAATTTTGCAATGCTAAACCCACGAATATCAACCACGTAAAGTTAGAACAGTTTATTTTATGTCCCTCAAGACATTAACTCCTACTTGCTTCATTATTGTGTGATGCTTTTCACGCGTACAAAATCCCAGATCTTGCAATAGTCGACGTAATCGACAATACTGATAAGAGACAGAGGGTTCTTCGATTCACATGGCGGAGGACCGTGGTATGTATGATATTGTTTTCACATTGTGAGGTATAAAAATAATAATAATAACATATTTCTTATATAGCGCATCACATAGCACATCTCGATGCGCTTCACAGTAACATTATGAAATAAAGCAATTAAAAAAGTGAAAACAATCCAGACAACAAATAGGCCCTGAAATGGATTTTAAAAAACAAGCTTCCATTGTTTTCAGTGATGCAATTCAGAATAACCCGAAAAAAGGAGGCGACCTACCCCTACTTAACCTCGCACTATAATCAGCATGACCCCTTGTATCAGTGTGTCTTAATTCCTTCAAAACTATCGTTTTCCATAAAAAAACCTAGACAAGTTCCAAAAATTTCTCAAAAGTCCTTCATTCCACGTGGACATGTTATATTGTTTTCTTCAGGTGCCTTGATTCATTTCCCAGAAATACAGCGATATTTTGTGATTTTTTTTCTGTTTTGCTCAGCCGTGACAAATAATTTAAAAGTGTCTGTCACTTTAAAAAAGGAGAAGGTAGAGAAGGAAAGTAGGAGAAGAAATACTGCAGTTCGATGGACTGTATCCCACCCAACCTGTCCTTCCCCCGAACCCTTGACGATATTCAATCGATATTTCCAACTTGTTTTCACAAGTCTTTCTCTCACTGAAATGGTATATCCTCTGTAGGGTGCCACCTGATTCATGGTGGGAGCGTGCTTCCCCGAACTTTTGTCCATCCCAACTGTCGGGCCCGAATGATTTATTGCTATCATATCAAACATATTTTGCATTGCCGCTCACGGCCGGTACACCACACTTAGAATCCACTGACGCAGTGTAATATCGTGCGATACCGGTTGCCCGTACATACCCCTACTTTGTGACCAAATATGGGCAGCACTAACAACCACTTGCGCCCTCGGCTGTGGAGCCCGGGCGTTCAGCTGAAGTTCATTGTACATGTATCTATAATGTACGGACACGTACGCATTCCACCGGTGTCTATTTGTTGGGCTGTGGGCATCACATAAAGGAAGACCCCCAGCTGGAAATGTTACGAAGTGAGGCTCTTTTTCACATGGTTTCAATTTATTTGTTTGTGATTTGAATTGCAGATTTACATTTGCCTTTCAGACAAAGACTTTTAAAGGGTTCTCAAAACTGGTCAAGCGTACTTTCAGAAAAGATCTCCACCCCTACGCTTGGAAAATATTAACAATAACTCTTTTTTCTTTTGCACACCAGATGGAATGACATTCAGATTTACTAACTTCCCAATACAGACTTCCTCGGTAATTTGATGAGTAGCTTTCCGGTTAACGGCGTGAGCATTTGAATTAGATTTCACAATATGCTGGAAGATTTGTTCTCCGTTAAGTATTAACCATCCTGTTCGGGTGAGCTGATGTATCCTGTGCTCCATTTTCTTGCGTATCGATTCTACTTATGCGCATATATCATTTTGGCCCCAGTGTTCGTACTCAACATTCGGGGGGGGGTCCCTTCGCAAACTTGCCGTTTCGCCTTCCCCACTTGAACAAAAAGTGACTCTCATTTTCTTTGAAGACCATCTCTTCTCCTAACCTGTTCTACCGGTTTTATTCTAAATCAACGGTGTTGCTGTTAATCTTGCAAAAACACTGGGCGCGCAGAAACAGCCCACGCGATGACATCAGGATCGCAGGGCAGACTCGGCTAAACCGCCTGCGGTGGAACGCGTGGCTAACAACGAGGTTGGTTCTATGTTTGAATTACTGTTTTTTTCAACTAGGCCATTCATGGCCACCCAAGGTGTCCGTTTGTGTTCTTCGGGGGACGAGAGAAGTGAAAGGAGAAAATACATTCCTGGAAACAAAACGAGCGAAAGCTTGACGAAACGGATGCCTTACGCAAGAGCTCAACCTTATGAGCAGGCCGGGCGAATTCTGCATCGTGTCAATTCCCTTAAATCCGATCATGATTGAGTAGAGACAGAACCCGTCCACGGTGTTAGATCGGTTTGAAAAGCTCGACGGCCGGCCGGCTTAAGATAGACCATTGAGGTCGGTCTAGTTGACACCCAATACTCTGGCTTTTCTTTACCCTTTCCCCCAAGGGGTGATACGTAAGTGCTCGCGTGCCGAGCGGAGTATTGCTCACGCGTGCCGGCCCGAGTCTGTCTCGATGACATATCGCTGAAAGTTGAATGATAATGTCGTTAACGCCCAGGCTGCTTGAATTCAGGAACAGTTTTCACTGTAAGATGGCAATTGTAAGATTCTTAAAACTTTGATGAACGACAAGCCACACTCTGTTTAGATAATTGTAGAATTCTGGCGTGTTTTTTTAATTCTAGGAGTTCATGACTGTTTCCTGTCAAACAAATAAAATCAAAGGCCGTTTGTCTTTTTATTTTTGTTTCAGATGGTGTTGCATCAATCTCAAGAGGAGAGAACGCAATTTACCAAATAGAGTAGACCGCCAATTCCTGAAAGGTTGATTTATCCCAAACAGTTAGATCCCCCTCGGTAAAATACATCAATTGTTTTACTGCCCAAGTATGAAATATGCAGGGTGCGCACAAACACTTGCGATGCCCTTGTTGACGGTACGGCACGAGCCAACACGTGGCCAGCACCGCGCCGGGGATAATTGCTGACCTGCCGCGGGCAACGACTTGGCCCTCTATAAATTTGCCGTCGGGGCCTCCGGTCCATCTACCGACAAGAATTCTCTAGCAAACGCAGCACCGCCGCAGAACCGCCAATTATGGGAGTCGGTGGCCCACAAGGGCGCCGACGTGTGTCCAGAAGAAAAAGGGGTCCCATGGGTGCGCACAAGATGTACAGCTGTTCTGAATCGTGGCTTTAGGTCAGGGAGGGACAGTGCTAGACACAGTTACGACATTCGTGGACCCGGATAACAAATATGAAGGAGGGCAGTCAAGAACAATTCCTAAGGAGGTACCAGCTTGAAACTGGCCCGATTTGTTCGTTTTCGTCACTCTGTGGTTTAAAGGTGTTAAAGCAATTTTAACAAACCAAAAGTAACAAATATCAAATGCACGGAATAGGATGCAGGGTAGAGTGCTAGTTATTTGTTAATTAATTGGGTTAATTTTGCAACTGAGGCAATTGCTCGTTAGGGCCCACTGGCGTCTGCCATGCAATTAGAATATCAGTTTTAATGTTGCCATTGACATTCTTAATAATATACAATGAAACATGTGATTAAAACTGAGCATCACGTTTTTATTTCATCTAATTCCTGAACAAAACAGTAGCATTTACTGGCACCGTACCATATCCGAAAATATCACTTCACCCTCCGATCTCATCCAGACTTGATTTTTTTTCTGGAGAAACCATCAGATGTAAGGACAGCCACTAAATCTACAAAGTACGCTGAACAAGTTTCTGCAAAACAACTCCAAGATAGTTCCCAAACAGCTGTTGCGCGATAATCCCCCATGCCAAAACTTCCCTGAAAGATGCTCCGACAAATCCAAGACCAGATGACGATGTTATGAAAAAATGGAGACTAAAAAAGTTGCCTACCTGAGTGCTCAACGTGCCGACTGTCGTCCATCAGGGAAGAAGTGTGGTAAGATGTTGCCTCTGTAGACTGCAGAACTTCACTTTCTCGTTGGTCGTCGGCCAAGAGGGCATCCGTAAAGGTGCTGGACACCGTGGCGGTTTGGGCTGGATATTTTAGGTGGATCGCAGACGGAGACCTCACATAAGACGCCGTGGGAGCGGCCAGGGTGTCGTAATAATTCTGGTGTTGGCAAGACGGCGGTGCGACGGCACCATGACTGATGGTGGTGTACATGCAGGAACCAGTCACCGGTGGAGCGTCTTCGAAAGAGTCGTACTCGCCGTAGTTTAGCAGAAGAGTGGGCTCCACAGTTGTATCAGTAACCCCTAAACATCGAGGCCTAGTTGCTTGCCACTGCTGCATATTGATACCACTTGTTGAAGCTCCAGCTGTCCCGAGACGCTATGGCTTGCCCGTCCACACTCTCCCGCAGCAATCTTGCTTTTGAGCGCTGGTTTAGTTGTGCTGGATACGCGTAAACAGAGGTAGTTGCTACCACCCACCAATCAATCATTACTCACTTCAGGGGTTGTATAAAATTTAATGACAATTTAAAATCAGTTGTTCGTAGAACCTGAATTTTGGGCATGTACGCAAAACAAGTGCTAAATGTTCAATTTAGATTAGTCTTGTTATGTGCCGAATTTGCAGCGTTACCACAGCGAGTCGTTATGAGTTTTTAAGCCGAAATTCCCACGATTCAAAAATTTGAATCCGATTCGTGGGTGAAATAAAGTTACCCAGGGAGTAATTTCGAATCTGCAATCCGTGCGATCGATGTTTGAGTCATAAACATGAACTGACTCACTGGAAAGTGCGACGTGAACTCGTAGTGATGGAACCTTCACCTGTGCCTTGCCGAGATCAACTGGCAGCATCCGAGAAAGGAGGCGGGGACTTGAGACGATCCCTGGGCAACATCACCGACAGGGCCGGCGGACATCTGCCATTCGCAGAACCCAATTCCACCCTGGAAGCGGGATTTTCAAATGGACCAGTCCGTTTTGTCACTGCGGGCATTGGTGCTTAAGATCGCCAAGGAGTCAGAGGCGCTCTTAGCGCCGGCACAATGCCGGCGCGCCCCGACCGCTGCTCTCATCGGTAACCGTCTACTTGGCACCGATTCTTGCCACGAAAATCAAATGTTTTTGTTTACGATTTACAGTAGATTTATCAAACTAAATCGGGACTATGTCATGGACCAAAATCCGCGCTATTCGCCGAAGAAATTGGTGTCTTACAGCAGAAACGTCCAAGGGCACTTGGCGTCAACACTTTGGGCCTGCACCTACTGCTGCGTCCAAAAGCGGCGCCATCGACACTAACGTGTTGCTAAGGAATCCCAGCTGCAGTCACGTGGCAATCACAATGTAAGTGTAGTTTCACTTTTAATTATGCGGAATATACTCCTAGTATCCATTCTAAAAGCATCTCTGGTTTGTTGACAGAGTCCAAAAGGGGCCATGTCGACAAATTGTCGCATATGCTTATGCATGCATTTATATTGTTGAAAAAAGAAGTGTACTTAAAATACCCTTTCATAAAGTCTCGGTTTTTGCGAAAAAATAGCTAATTTCGCTTGAGAGAATGATTTAAGATAAGCTCTGCCTCTAAATGAGTGGCAATGCACCAGCGTCAGGTTGGCTGTGCATTCCGAATGTGTTTTAGGAATAGCGCTATTACTTATTCGGCCGCCATGACAGAGACCTCAAGTGATCGATCGGCTCGTGCTACGTTCCAGCATAACTTAGTCTTAATTCAAACACGATATTGGCCAGTTTTTTAGTTATTTTTGACGAGTAACAATAATATGACTACGAGACGTCATTTCTAGGCCAAAGACGTCAACTGCCTTCAAGAAAATCCCTCCGCAAAGCACGAAAATGAATACTTCGGCTAGTTTGTATTACTAGAGTAGAGAAATATAAACAAACTAACGTAAACTTCATAGACTCGTCCAGTACGTTTGTATTTTTGACATTTAAAAACATCATAACTCACTAAAAATTGTATTTGTCTGCACAAAAAAATATTTGCTAGAGTAAAAATATTATTGTCTTTTAAATTTAGGCAATTTTGTTGGGTGTTGTTTATATTTTTTAATTACGTGAATTTCTAATTGTGTTGTGTATGTAGATTGAAAAGCACGGGTTCGAGGCCAGAGATCGGTCGCAGGTTAACCGTTTGAGCCGGTTTCCGTGCGAGGGTGGTGCGAGCCGACTGCTCGCAATTCTGCTCGATTCTGGTGCCATTTCCTTGGATTTTTACGATTCTGGAGACAGTTGGAGGGACCGAATTTGCCGGGGATATTGTCTTTGTGCCCGTTGGGATAGGAAAGTGCCACGCCCGAAGAGAAAGCGCTGAGTCGGGAAGCGGAGGGACGAGGGAGGCCGGTCGGTTGCGCGTCGCCCAAGCAGACGCAGAGCCCAACACCGACGCGACGTGCTTGCTGTGTCTTGAGGCTCATGCCGTGTATTTTCGCATGCTGCCTTGTGCCTATATTATTTTTTACACTGGAGCGAGCAATGACCCTGTTCAAGCACCAAAGCCCGCCCTCACGAAATTCTTGAAATGACGAAGCCCGATTTTCTGCAAAGCTTTAGTCTCGCTTATGAATTTTTAATTCTTACACATTTTGGAATAAACAAATAAAAATACTCAGAAACGGCAAATTAATTTAAGTTTGCATCACAACAGATGATATGCTAGCCAACAAAGTGTCGAGAGGAGTAATGAAGTCGCAAACGTACTTGTGGCATTACAAAAACTACAAGATTTCGGCCGAATCTGAAAGCTTTTAGCTGTTTGCCTCCTTCATTTTTTTTCATCTAGAGAATAATTTGCAAAATTCTATAGAAATCTTCTTTTGAAAGAAAAAAAATACACGAATGATTTTTACGAATAACATGCCCGGTCTTGTACTCGAAATTATCGAATTTCATAATGAATTGAACCTTGCCGCGTGACAACACCTGCTGAATTTTGGCGGGCTTTTGCTGCAGTGGTCCGCGGCTGATTTTTGTGGCGGCGTATTCGTCGCGGAGTAAATTTGCTCCCTGTAAACCACCCTTTTCTCCTTGTACAACAAAATGTATCAACCAGTGACTGAGGAAATACCCCCAGACGAAAAACCTCCCGACTCTCCGGACAGTTTCCAACTGGCAAGGGGAGACGAAAGGCCTGTCGAGGAGCAAGACGATCTCCCGGAGGCAGACCATGCGGCGGTGGTGGATGATCCAGGTGTCGAATTCAGCTCGTCCCGGTCTGGCCTGCCACCTCGTGATCATCAAGCCGGTTCCGGGGCAGCCTCTCAGCAGCAAAGGGACCGATTTTATCTGAGGTGGGAACCTCATTACTTGACAACTTTGCCAGGAATTATGAAGATGCTACAGTTGGTGAGTCATTTATTATAAAACCTTTATTTTTGTGTAAATGTTGGATTTACACCGTTTTACAGACGTATCATCACTTTGCTACTTTTAAGTTCGACTTGAAGCAAAGATTATTTTTCATAGTGCTATAAAAAGCGGGCTTAACATTCAGTTGGATCCATTAAATTTTTCTAGAGTAGTTTAACATCTTAGTTCCTACTTTACTAGGTGTTTCTATGAGGTTGGTTTCAATTTTCAAAAATGTCTGATGTATTCCTTTCTCATTTTAGAAAAGTGCAACTTTAGGGACAAACAGACGATTTAGAATGAAAATAGCTTTAAATATGAAATGCATAATTTAACAGAAAGCTAGCCAAAACTTAATGTGAACACACCGGAAGGAAGTGACATCAGTTAGCCATTTAATTAATTAAATTGATAATAAATTTGATTTTAAAGATGAACTGTGGCCCGTAAAGTTTGATGACTGAGTTGAACATGGAGTTGCTGACTGGGCAGATTTTCTTAACACAGTGGTTGGCTGTCTTTGGAAATTAGGATGAAAGCTGTTTGTTCATTGTCATGAGTTGCAAAGTTTTGTGGGGCATTTTTCTTACCAACTTGATAAATCTGTAACAAATTGCTGATGCGGTTTCTGTGACACAGGTGAAATTAGACACAATTATTTGCAGAATTTTTCTGATTTAGAAACATCACATTAATATTAATTTAAACTGTCTTGAAGTTCACATATACATGTATTTGGGTTTTTGGATTTTTTTTGAGAGTGGGAAATGGTTAGAAAATATTCAATGTCCAACTTTTATTTCAGCAGCCAATTTCAGAAAACTTTATAGCATAGGCTTAACTCCAGTTACACTACATTTTATTGCTTAAGTTGTGCTATAAATTAAGACCGATTTCATTTTAGGTGGCGTAAGTTGTACTAAAAGAAGCAAAAATGAACAATTTGACTAGCTTATCCTGTTCGGTTAAGCCTCATCGTTGCTGAACTGAACTAGGCTTGTACGAGAAACGTACAACTTTGTTGTAGAAGGTAATAAAAAACTTGTTGGGTGTGAGAGAACTGTGAGATTTTCTGTCTGGTTCCGACAAAGCAAAGACAAAAATTTTTCAAAATGACAGGCGGAGGGGATTCGACGACTTGATGACTGTTGTTATATTGGAAAGGAACAGCCGCTGTAAGAGTCATTGTCGTCCTCGTCCAAGAATTTCATATTATTAAAATGTGGTGCAGCTAGGCTACCTTTTTTGAACTCTTGCACAGCTACGGCACAAATTTGTGGCTGGCGCAAGGCTTAGGCATGGTTCAAAGTTACAGGATTCGTGAAATTGGCTGCAGAACAGGTGGATGAAATTTGAGCATACACATGCCCCTCATGAAGGTCGTTGGCAACCAGTTCAAAGTGTATGGTGTCCATGTGTTTTCATAGGGGTAATTCCAGAAATTAGGGGTCCATTTTTTTTCGTGTCCCAGTTATATCTTACATAATTTTGTAAGTTCAGAACACATTTTCTAATTTCCAAGAGTGATGAATTAATGCAGATTACCTGCCAAACAAATAGTAATAGTTTGAAATCAATTCCGGTGATGTTTCCATGTCAAATAATAAAGGTCGGATGTAACAGGGACCCAAAAAGGGTCACACTTTTGGACCCCTAATTTCTGGAATTAACCAGCTCTGTGATACTGCACATATTGCACTCAGTACAGCAAGTTATATACTGACAATATGAAAGTACATTCTTGTATAAAGTGCTGGGTTAAAGTCACATTCAACATATTTTAATGCTACTTGCTCACATATTTGTGCGCTCAAAAGTTTGAAATCTACATTGCAGTCACCTCCCTTTAAAAATTGCCCCGACTTGTCCCCTCTCTCTGCCAATATTGCATTTTTTAGCTGAAATTTATGTGCTGGCTATGATACAGTGTCTTTGTTGACGAGCGCCGTCAGCTGCTTCAAATGGCTATGTACTGCCTCCTGAACACCTGTGGCCAGCTTGTCACACAAGCCTTGGAGAAAGAGATCACTTGATCATAGAGCTATGCTTTGATGCAGTTTTCAGGCCCTGTAATGATCTTTTCAAGTATTTGTATATTTCAAGTCACTGTAGTCAGCAAGCAGTTGACAGTAGTTTTTGTATGAAATACAAGCAGTGGAAGGGTTGAAATGCGAAAACAGTACATGTTACAGTCAGGATTGTCACTTTAGGGCCTGCTCAACCATGCACAAAGTGCTCATGTAAACAATAAGCCTTTTGGGAGTTAACTTTGACCACACTGAGTTCTTTAAATTCATGTGAACGTAACAACTTGAATTCTCCATACTAAAACAACTGTTGCTATACCTTGTGAGTCAGGGCAAGCTTTGCTTGGTTATGAAAGAGACACCTTGCAACAATACACTGTTCTCAATGGATAAGAAGGGCACAAAGGAACCAGTCCATTCCAGAGATGGTGCTCACTGTGCAAAAGCTTGCCCCAAATCATGAGGTATAGTAACAGTGTCTTTAGTCTGAGGAATTCAAATTGTTATGTTTATGTGCAATCAGATAATCAGCGTACCAGATTTTATTCAAATTTAACTCGCAAATGGCTTATTGCAGCATTGCTGTCTTGGTTTCTAAATCCTCAGTCTGCCCCGGTGTTTTGGGGTGTACTTGAGCATGTGTGTAGGTTCCTTTAGGATCTGCTTTATTGATTCCAAGTCATCCTTTCCTACTTGCATTCAGGCTACAACAGGCATGAGATAGTTCACTGTCTATGCTTATTTACAAACTGCTGTTGGTCTAATTCAAGGTGTTGCCGAAAGCACAGTGCTGAAATAATCCATGCAGTATCACTTCATGTCTGTTATTGCTATCAGTCCTTAATCAAGTGCATCTGGTTGTGAGTGTGTTCACATGCACGCCTGAATGCGTTTATCTCCCACTTGCAGGCCAGCTTGCGGAAATAAAAAACCCACACCAGATCACCAAGTGTGGTTCAGAATACAAACAAGTGGAATTTGAGTAAATGTGGATTCAGCAGCAGTTGTTTGTATTTTGTGAGCCTGTATGTGCTGTGTATATGATTACATATTTTCCCCATCTAGCGGCCTGGGACTCCCCAGAGAGGCATTAACCTCATCACAAAAGGGTGAAGGTTTCCTAGACCCCGATTTCATCTGACAGGGCTGAAAACTGTATTCCCCTGGACATTGATGCACTGCATGGGAGCTGGTTGCGGCAAGCCACATACGTACATGTACATGTAGGCCCAGCAGCTTGCTGGCAATCATTGTTGATCAGCTTTAGGGACACTTTTTAGTCCCCCTCCCACCAACCACTGCCACTTCACTGCCACCATCATCACCACCACCAGCAGCAAAAACACAGGAAAAGAAAAGCAAACAATTTTGCCAGTTACATATGAGTATGAATAGTTCTTAAAATTCATGTGAACGTAACAATTCGAATTTTCGATACTGTTTTGATGCATAATTTGAGGCAAACTTTTGCTTAGTTACATACATGTACGTGTAAGAGACGCCTTGCCCCAATACTCTGTTTTCAATGGATAGGACGGGCACAAAGGAACCAGTCCATTCCAGAGATGGTGGTTGCTACGCAAAAGCTTATCCCCAATCACTAGGCATAGGGAATTCAAATTGTTATGTTTATGTGCAATCAGAAAACACAGGGCACAAGATGTTATTCAAATTTAACTCGCAAATGGCTTATTGACTTGATCGTACAGTACTGGTACCAACTGAAGAGCATGGTTTTATTACTTGCAGTGCCTGCACATGTACAGATATATGCAGACTGATTACTAACATGCATAGCCACGGGAGGTGGAAGTGGAAGAGCACATGTGGCTGCTATTCTCTACCTCACTGCAGCTTAACTGATGAATGATGAACACAGTGTATACAATGTGTTTACAATTGACCCCCAATATTTTGGTCATGAAAGCATATAAACAGTGCCAGTGCCACTGGCAAGCTCGTTGGTCGAGTGGTTAAGACATCTGCACTAGCAAGCAGGAGAGCGTGGGTTCAAGTCGTACCCAAGTACATTTGTGGTTTTTTCAAAAGCCTTCGGGGGGGGGGGCATACACTGAGTATACAGTGTTAAAATACACATCATCGGACAGGGCAAAAATCCAAAATTAAAGTGCCGCACTGTAACACTATCACCATTCTTCACCGTTGTACATGTAACTGTGAACTTGTCAGTTTAAAAAATTCTGCAAAAGAATATAATAGAATGCTGCTGTAAAAACAATGGGGTATACCGAACCTCCTTCTGAATATTCTGTGCACTTTTACTGAACATTGAACATTTCCTTTAATGTAAGGGGAATGTGTTTAGCACTAATGATAACTGTAATAAAAGTTTAGGTAAATCACACATGCCTGGCGAAGAAACAGTGGTCAACACATGACATGGTCTGAGTTCATGATGCAGCGTTCTACTGTACACAGTGGTCATTCTGCCAGCTAAACCTGAGTGAATGTCTTGCAGTCAGCATTATTTTGGGCTGAAAAACCTGACTTTCCAAACCGGCAAGATACAGTTTAGGGCTGCTGACTGTTCAAATACAGTCACATGCCACAGAGAATCATGAGAGTCATTTGAAAAATATTTACACTGCAACCTTATATTTTGCAGTGAGGTGGAGAGAAACACTATGAGTGATATTTGCTCCAACACGCGATTTGCCTCCATAGACTTAGGGTACATGAATGGGATGTGTGTCACTAATACAATGGAAAATGAGAGTTACATGTATGTGCAACTATGCATGTGTACTGCTGGAGACTGGAATGCTTAGCTGGCAACCTATCAGCCATCCCTGCAAATACAATGTGGGACGCACATCCTCCTACACGAACTGATTAAGCTAGACGAGAGCGGCGTTATGTTCATTCAGAGGCAGAAAACTTAAAACACTGAGATGAAATACCTCAGTCATAGCCTCTCCCTGATACATTCATCTTGTAGTAGGATACAGT